ACCACCGCCCGGCCTTCAACTTTCAAAAACACAATATGCACCTAACTAGAAGTCTGATTTCAGGAGCTCAATAAACAGATGTTGCCTATGTAGGCGTGTCCCGTGCAGCAACTGCCCTTCCGCTGCCTCTAAGCATAGCTTTTATTTCTTTTACATATGAAAGTATGTAGACCAGCCTGGTCTACAAGAGCTAGTTCCAGGACAGGAAAAAAAAAGTATGGTGTGTGCCCGTGTGCTCGTGCACGGAGACCCAAGGTTGATATCAAGATTCTTCCTGATTGTTCTCCACCTTCTCTGCTAAGGCAGGTCTTTTGTTCCCTGGATCTCCCAGTTTCAAGTAGTCTTGCTACCCAAGCCAGCTTGCTCTGGGAAGCCCCAGTCCCACCCGGCAAGCCCTGGGATCACGTACAGGCTGACACAACCCCCTGGCTTTTCACCTGGATTCCCGGAGATCCAAACCCCAGCCTTTGTGCTAACATGGCAAAATGTTTACCTGCTGACCATCGCCCCAGCTCTGTGTGTCACAAACTCTATCCACAGACCCTGCACAGTCAAACCGCCTAACACAGTTCCGAAGATGCATAATCCCAGGCCTGACCCAGACTTGGGGGTTAGTCTCAGCAACAGCAGTCAAGAAGGCAGCGGGGGTACAGGCAACTTGTCTTCAAAGACGTCTATGTGGGATACAGAAGACACCAGAGAACAGCAGCTGAAGGTCATCAAGATGAATGGCTACGCAGAAAGTTTGTAGGGAGAAGGAGAAGAAACAGACAAGTTGGGGAGAGAGTACACGGAGGCACAGAAAGGAGGCTCTGTCCTCCTCAGAGACGTGGCGCCCGGAAAAGCCAAAGGATCAAGGTCGGAAACTGTTCAGACGGCCCGCGAGCTGAGACTACAGCAGCAGTTCCTAGACTAACAGGAGTCCCAAGTGCAGCGCTGAGAAAAGGACCGGAGGAAGCCACACACACAGGTGGCCTCTCTTCCAGGCACTACAGCTCTGGAACTACAATAAAACATGGGTAGATTAGCACTCTTATAGCTAGTAAAGGACGGTTAAGGGAACAAAGATGGCTGTTATAAGGGGAAAGATTAAAAAGATGATATGAAAAACTAAGGTCCTCAACACTAATATGAGCCATCTGGCCACGTGACTTCACCTCACCCATACTGCACCTAGACTCTTGAAAAACAGAACAGCGAGTCCTCAGACCACGTGACCCGGCAATTCCACTCTGAGAGCTTTACCCAAGGGAGCTGAAACCATGTCTACACAGAAACCTACACACAAACGTTCACACATTCTCCATAAAAGGCAGAAGTAGAAATAACCCAAATCCCCATCACAGGTGAATAGATAAACAATATGATCAATCCACACAAAGAAATAATATTCGGCTATAAAAGAAGAATGGAGTGTTGATACACACTCCAACACAGTAAACTGGGAAGCCATCATGCTAAGTACAGAAAGCCACATGCAAAAAGCCAATTGTGATCCCACTTACAGAAAATATCCAAAACAGGCAAATCTATAATGCCAAAGAAACGGATGGTTTGTTGCTTGGTAACCACAAACTAGTGGTGAGAGAAATGGGAAGAGTGGCTGCCAGAAAGGGTGCTGGTGTTTTGATTTTTTTTTCTCGAGAGGAGTTAAAAATACACTGGAATTAAACAGTACAATACTGGCTGTAGATGGCTCAGCGGGCAACTACGCCTTCTGCCAAGCCTGATGACCCGAGTCAGCCTCCAGGACTCACATGGGACTAGAAGACAGCTGGCTCCCAAAAATTGTCCTCTGATACCCTACACACACAGACACACACACACACAAGCCATGGCTAAGGCATGCCAACATACACACACACACAGACACACACACACACAAGCCATGGCTAAGGCATGCCAACATACACACACAGACACACACACACACACAAGCCATGGCTAAGGCATGCCAACATACATACACACACACATACAGACAGACAGACACACATTAATAAAATATAGTAGAGGCTGGGCTGTGGTGGCAAGCACTTTTAATCCCAGCACTTGAGAGGCAGAAGTAGACAGAGCTCTGTGATGTCAAGACCAGCCTGGTCTACAGAGCAAGTTCCAGGACACCCAGGGCTGTTACACAGAGAAACCCTGTCTCGAAAAACAATTAAAAAAGAACAACAACAAAAATATGTAGTAGTGATAGCTGCATGGTTTTGCATACAGACCAAAAAACCAATGGCTTGTATATTTTTAAAAAGTATGCTGGAGAGATAGCTCACTAGGTGAAGAATTTGTCACATAAATGTGAGGACTAGAGTTTGTATCCCCAGTACCCACATAAATACCAGGTGGGTGTGGTCATCTGCCTGTCATTCCAGCTCAGGAGGCAGAGACTAGGGATCCCTGAGCTGACTGGCAAGCTAGCAAGCTCTGGATCCAAGTGAGAGACCCCCACCTCAATACAGAGTGGAAGGTCAACCTCACTCCTCACTCCCACAAGCCCTAGGCCATGCATACATATACACACACATAAATATGTAATCATAACATGTATGCATATTTCACGCACATAAATATGCAATAATAATAATAAACTAAAACAATGAATTCGAACCATGACTCACGCGAAAGAGAACATTCAAGCACCTGTAGACACATGTACATCTATCTCACGTGCCTATTAATAAACTGCCCTTCTGACATGGTTATATCAAAATGGCACCAGAATAACACATAACCAGGTGAGGCAAGTCTACTCACACTCACATGCTCAGAAGAACAACAATGAAAACTAACAGTCATTAAAGTTTATTGCGTGTTTACTATGCTGCCAGGCACTATGTTAAGCCCTTGGCATGTGTGACCTCCTTTCCTTTCTCCCTGCCACCCTTTGAAGTGTGCACTGTCATCATCACCCTTAACAAAGATATGAGGAAACTGTGGCACAAATAATCTTAATAACCCAGTCACCCACGTACGCGACTCATCCCATGTAGCCGGATTCATCAATACGTTGCTATGCATATGTCTTCCTAATTTCTAAACATTTCTTTTTAGATAGGTCCTTGTGTATAAACTTCTGAGGCCAAGACTGCTTTGAACACCGTATTCTCCTGCCTCCGCTTCCCAAGTGCTGAGATTAAAGGCCTGCTCCACATTGCCTGGATAACCTTGTTTTGTTTTCTAAAATAATAATAATCATAAAATTTATGGACTTTCATTCACAGACATACAGCAAGACAGGGGAGGGTCTCCATTTCAAAATAAAAGTTATTAGAAGTATAGCAATCCTAGGAAAAATAATCACTGGAAACACCCAAAGTTGTGGCTGAAACTAAATTGAAGGCTGTATTTCATAATAACCAAGAGCCTGGAGTCCTGAGAAAAAAAAAATTCTACAGTTTTCTATTGCCTTTTAAATTAAAGGTAGGCGGTGGTGGCACAGGCCTTTAAGGGGGGGGGGGGAGTGGCTGAGGCCACTGTGAGTTCAAGATCAGCCTGGACTACAGGGCAAGTTCCAAAGCTACAGAGAAACCCTGTCCTGCCCCCCCAAAAAATAAATAAATAAACAAACAAACAAACAAACAAACAGTAGATTAATTTGGTCTCTCCCTGTGAGGAGTAATCTCAAAATCTAAGTGAGAGGGCTATTAGCAAAAACAAGGCAGCACCTGAATGGTGGTAGCCTGGCAAGGTGGCACGCACCTTTAATCTCAGCACTCAGGAGGCAAATGGATCTCTATGAGTTAGAGGCCAGCCAAGTCTACAGGTCGATGTGTATGTGTATATGTGTGTGTGTGTTGTGTAGCTATGTATGTATATAGCGCCTTGTGTGTCTAGATACATTCCACGGAATATCTGTGTGCTTACCAAATAACAAGATGATAGATTCCAAGGCCTACATCACAGGAGGAACATGAAAAAGGGCAACGTGATTAAAGAAGACTGCTTGAAAACCAGCATTTAGGAAGGGGTAGAAGGCAAAAGGTCACTACTGGCCTCCAGCCTGGAGGGACTAAGAGCGGATTGTTCCTACAGTGGGAAGTACAGGGTGCTTAATGCCCTGGAAAATACAAGCAGACAGGCAGGCAGGCAGGATGCGGTTACGTAACTCTCCGGAGTCAGGAGAAGTGTCTGAACTTGACAGAATCAGGAAAGGTAAGTAAGTCATGCTTCCGAAAGAGCTGTGCAAGCATTTTTGTATTCGTTGTAGATGCCTTAAAGAAGCCTGGTTTCAGTCCGAGCTGGTTCACCGAGCCTGGAATTCCAGCCTACATCCCGTGCCCTAATTTCATTCTAAATAGTCTGTTCCCTGAGGCAAGACTTGGTGAAACTTTGATTTCGGCAAACTCACGATAGAAAAAAATCATTTTAAGGAAAAAATAAAAAGCAGTCTCTCTCTCTCTCTCTCTCTCTCTCTCTCTCTCTCTCTCTCATGCTTATTCATGAACGTATTAACGTATCGTTTAAAAAAAATCAAACAAATCTGTTTGTTCCTTCACAAGCCTTTTTTTTTTAAAGAACATTGCTAGTGAACATTAAATTTCCTCACATTTGACAGCTTAAGCTACAATGAACAGTTAATAGGCTATCCCCGGTACAACACGCGCTATTTTTATCACGAGAAAGATTTCCTTAAGCCTAGTCGCTGAACTCGACTTCTTTCGGTCATGACATTGATAGCCAAACTTCTTTTGCAGAAACCCACACTCGTCCGTTTCACCCGACGAGACCCTCGTCTCTGGAAATTTCTTTTCCCAGCCCTGCACCAATCAATGCCATTTCCCAGGGGCTTCAGCTGCCTCTGAGGATCTGCGCTTTCCGAGCTACACTACATCTGACCCAGGGATCTGAAGCTGAAAAACGTCTCGCCGGAGACCAGCCTAGATGAGGCCAAGGGGCTCGGATGGCGCCGCGGTGTGACCTCACAGTACCCCCTTGCCCGGTTCAGGGGGCATCGGGTACCCACCCCGCGAGGCCCGGCCCACGCCGGTACGCACCTGACCAGCGGCTCCTTCTCCGGCCGCGCGGGCTCCTCCAGGCACCGGCACGGGCAGCAGCAGCAGGCGCTCCGTAGCCAGCGGCGCAGCCCCATAGGGAGCGAAGACGGACACCGGGTTCCCAGAGCCAGGCGCGCGATGGCAGCTGGGGCGCGGAGACGGGGGTGGCCGCGGCGTCACGGGCCGGGCCGTGCGCATCACGCCGCGGCCGAGGGACGCGAGCCGCGCGTTTCTGCGGGAGCTTTTCCCTCTCTCTTTTAATTCACCGGGTGCCGCCGGAGCGCATGCGTCCCCGTGTCGCCCCGCTGCTGCCCTCTAAGGAGCGAGCGCGCTCCAGCCTCAGCGCAGAACCCGGGCGGCGGGGGTGGGGTCAGGGGTGGAGGGGTGGCTGCTGAGCACCCCGCGAGGTCTTGCAGCTCGAGGCAGAGCCCAACTGTCCTTTTAATTGACTTCGCTGCGGAAGAAGTGAAAGGTCTCCCACAATACAGGCTTTGAAAAAGTTCTTTTTTTCCCCAAACTTTCAGCCCTTAAACGGGATTTTAAAAAAAAGTTATCGCTTATGAGTTCTGGAATTGTTTCGTGATGTTTATAACAGAGACGTGGTTTTGTGAGCTACCAAAGTAGGTGCTGGGGACAGAATCCAGGTCGTCTGCAAGAGTGGCAAGTGCTCTTAACCACTAAGCCATCTCTCTAGGCCCCCAAAACCCTCCTCTCTTTCTTTTGTTATTTATTATTATTATTATTATTATTATTATTATTATTATTATTATATGTTCATTTGTGTGAGGGTCAGATGCCCTGGAACTGGAGTTACAGACAGTTGTGAGCTGCCATGTGAGTGCTGGGAATTGAACTCAGGATCTCTGGAAGAGCAGCCAGTGCTCTTAACCGCTGGCCTTGAACTCACAGAGTTCCACCTGCCCCCCCCCCCCCCCCAGTGCTGTGATTAAATACGCATGCTACCACGCCCGGCCGACTCCTCTTTTTTTAAATGTCCAAACAGAAGCTTACCATATCCAATTATATATATATATACCTTTCCTCCCTCAGTCCTTCTGCACACATTTTTGTGCCTGGCTTTATTCACTCGGTATCATGCAGACTGTACCACATGAGTGTGTGTATCTTTTGAGCGCCAGTGTATTATTTAACCAGACTCCTGATGGTGCATATGTAGCCCAATTCCAACAACTTGTACTCAAATGTAGGGCCATAGTGCACAGCCCTGATCATGTACTTGGGTGCATCTACATCAACTGAATAACCATTTGGTGGTTGAATTGCTATGTCATAAGACAGATGCCCCTTTGATTTTGATGAATCTTGACAAATTGCTCTCCAGTGAACAATTCCAGTTTAGATTCTGGTATATGAATGTCCATTTTCACCAATACAAGATAAAAGCTTTTTTTCCAATCTTATTTATTTGAGAAGTGTTTATTACCAGCTATGCGCTAGGTATGTTTTATGACATGTGAATGAATACAGTAGTGAATAAAACCAGCAAAAAGTCTATACTATTTTGAGCATTTTAGTGTGTGAGTGCACTCACCTATGGGTCATGCCAGATTCTACTACAACCCCAGGTGTTTTGTTTTGAAAAGTTTTCTTGTAGCCTAGGGTGACTTCAAACTTCCAGTAGAGCTGAAGATGACCTTGAACTCCTGATCCTCCTGGCTCAACCTCCCTCGCCCTGAGATTACGCGTGTGCTGTCCACACCATTTCATGCAGGGCTAGGGATCATACTCAGGCCTTTGCTCGCTCCTGTTAGGCCAGCACCATCCCTGTCCACTGACTGCATCTTTTTTAATGACTTGGATCAAGAGGTTAATGTTCAGCCCTAATAAGGATCATGTTCAGTTTATGTCTACTTTTAAATTACAAATATTTTTCTCTTTAATTTGATTTTTAAAATAATTTTTTAACGATTTATTTAACTTCGTTTTATGTGCATTGATGTGAATGTGTCAGATCTTGTGGAACTGCATTTTCAGACAGTTGTGAGCTGCCATGTGGTTGCTGGGAATTGAACCCGGGTCCTTTTCAAGAGCAGTCAGTGTGCTTACCCGCTGAGCCATCTCTCCAGCTCTTTTTTTTTTTTCTTTTGGTTTTTCAAGACAGGGTTTCTCTGGGGCTTTGGAGCCTGTCCTGGAACTAGCTCTGTAGACCAGACTGGTCTCGAACTCACAGAGATCTGCCTGCCTCTGCCTCCCGAGTGCTGGAATTAAAGGTGTGCGCCACCATCGCCCGGCTCTCTCCAGCTCTTTAATTTGAATTTTAAGACATGAATGAAACAGTGGAAGTTCCCTTTTTATTTATTTTTATTTATTTATTTCTGAAACAGGGTTTTTCTGTAGCTTTGGAGCCTGTCTTGGAACTCTTGTAGACCACAGACTGGCCTTGAACTCACAGAGACTGCCCGCCTCTTTCTCCGCTCTGGGATTAAAGGCGTGCACCACCACCGCCAGCTGAAGTTTCCTTTTTAAATTTCACTTACTACATCTATTTATTGGAGGGGTGTGAGTGCCCTGACAACACATATGGGGTTCTGAGAACAACCAGCAGAAACTGGTTCTCTCCATTCACCAGGTGGGTTCCAGGGGTCCAGCTGAGACTGTGGGGCTGGCCTTTCCCCTCACAGAACCTTTGAGTCAGCCCTGATTTTTGGCTCTTTAAGGCTCATCACCTCAGTCTTTGTCAAAGTTCTTCCCGGGAGCTGACTTGATTCCTGCTCCACTCATTTTCATGACCTACTGGAGGCACAACACTCCTCCTCCACCTTCATGTCTGAGCACATCTGACAGCCCATTTCCCCTTTCCTACATCCTTCACAGGGCAACGGGAGATTCCCTTTTCAGAGAGGAGCTACTCCACTGCCTGCAATGACGCCAGCACCGCCAACCACACACGGGAGCACCTGACATTTACCCAGAGCCCCTGGGCACCTGACATGGGGGAGTTGGCAGTCCCCTGGAGCAACTGGTGAGTCACAGAGCTTGTTTTCCAAGCAGAGCTAGGACGGAAGCCAGCCTCTATTTTCAGATTTCTTTATGGCAAGGAAAACTCTGAGTCTGTTTTGAAAACAATTAGTATAGTTTGGAGTCTTCCCTCACCCCCCCCCAGTCTTTAGAAATTTACTAACAATTACTGAGAGTGGGGGGGGGGTGCATGCAGGAGGGAAAAATAAGAAAATCCAAATATTTAAATGCCAACGCTCTATCATCAGTGTATTGCACTGAATAGCTTTAGTGTTTGCATGGAAAGCTCTCTTTAATTTTGATGGCTGTACTTAGGAGTTGTACCCCTCCAGGAGAGAGATGCCAAAGAGGACCAACATGGTTCAGAGAAATCATACCAAGAAGTCCCAGGAGGGCCAACGAGATGGCTCAGCAAGTAAAGGTGCTTGCTGCCAAACTTGTTGACCTGAGTTTGATCTCCAGGCCACTCATGGAAGAAGTGAAATGACTCCCAAATGTTGTCCTTGGACCTCCACTTGCACATCATGGCATAGTGTGAGTGTGCACACACGTGCATGCGCACACACATACTACAAAATATAAAAACATTTTAAAGGCCCAGGACTAGAAAGATGGCTCAGCAATAGGGGCATATACTGGCTTTGCAAATGATGTGTCTTCTGTTCCCAAGTATGCATATCAGACCACTTACAACTACCTCTCATTCTCAATCCAGGGGAATCTGATACCACTGCTTTCTATGTATAAATGCACTCACGTGTGGAGGGGAATGTGTTACAGTTGTAGTGTTGCAGAGATATCCTGACTTATCTGGAAGTCGGGTTATAATTAGAGCCACAATAGGACAACTCAGCCCTCGAGGATAGACCTGCAATAGGGCAGCTCTGGAGGGGTAGAGCCGCAACAGGACAGCTCAGCCCTGGAGGACAGGTGTCCTGACGATGGGGAAGCCAGGCTACCTGAAGCTGGGGTGCAGTGGGGGCAGTCTCCCCACAGGATATAGTGATCCTGCTCTTCTCCTGGAGAGCCTTTACAGCTCAGTTCCGCTTTGTTCCCTTAAGGGAAAGTCCTGATAGAGCTATCTGCTTCTCCTCTGGCTAACACTCTGCTAAAGGGGAAGCCCCTGCAGAAATGTAGCAATCGCCTCTGACTCAGGGGGAAACTTTTTTCTGCCCCGCCTTGCTCAACCCCCCTTAAAGAGCGTCCTAGCAAGGTTCTTCTGTTCTGCTCTCCTTGCTGAGGCTCCCTAGGGAGCGGCTCAGCAAGGTTTTTCAGTTCAGTTCCCTAATGGACGTCCCAGCCAGGTTCTTGAATCTGCACTGGCAAATGAAGGTTGTCACCCAAAACTCTCTTGAGGAGATTTATTTGGGAAGTAGTAATCCAGAAGAGAGTCCAGGAAGGGATTAACAGCAGCCTTTTAATTTTATTTTTTTCCATTTTTTTTAAAATTTATTTATTATGTACACAGTGTTCCGCCTCCATGTATGCCTTGCAGGCGAGAAGAGGGCACCAGATCTCATTACAGATGGTTGTGAGCCACCATGTGGTTGCTGGGAATTGAACTTAGGACCTCAGGAAGAGCAGCCAATGCTCTTAACCTCTGAGCCATCTCTCCAGCCCAGATTTTTAATTTTAATATCAACAAGAGACAGAAAGGCTTATTATATAGGGCTTCTTAGGGGCGGAGTTTTCCCAGGGAAAAGTGGGATTGGTCAGGGACAGAAGAGATAGCTCTGACTTCATGGCCAAACTGTGTTTCTTTCACTGGTCCTTTTTAGCTTTTTGACTTATTTCTTTCACTGGCTCACTGGCTCTGATTCTAAGGACAAAGTGTGTTTTTTGACACTAGTTTCGGAGCCAGGGCACATGTCTTTAGTCCTGGGTTCAGTGATAATGATGTTTCTTTCCTTGGCCCAGGTCTTAAATTCAGGACGTGTTTCTTCCACTGGCTCTGGGTTCAGAGTCAGGATGTGCAGTGATTGGTTGGTTTCCTGCTCCAGTTGTCCCTTTCACCCTACAACGTGTGCATTACCCACACTCAGATATGCATACATATATACATAATTAAAAATTTTTCAAAACAGAATGGCGGTACGGGCCTTTTTGGGTTTTGTTGTTGTTTTTTGAGACAGGGTTTCTCTGTGTAGCCCTGGCTTACCTGGAATTCACTCTGTGGACCAGGCTGGCTTCACCAGCCTCTGCCTCCTAACTTGGTGGTGTGTACCTTTAATCCCAGCACTCTAAAGACTGGTATTTCTGTGAGTTTGGGGCCAGCCGTGTCTGTCTAGAGAGTTCTAGGCCACCAATAGGGACAGGAAAGATAGCTCAGCAGCTAAGAGAACTTGCTCCTCTTGCAGAGGACCTTTGTTCAGATCCCACACCCACATGGTAGCTCACAACCAACTATAACTCTTAACTCCAGGGAATCCAAACCCTCTTTCTGGTGCTGGGGGAAGCTTTGTTAACCAATCATCTTTAAGAGGTGGAACCTAGTTAAGGCGTGGCTTCCTGGAGCCCGGGAGAAAAACTGGGACAGACCAGGTGCTCGCTCTCTCTGGGTGATTCCCGCGGGACACAGCGGAGCTTGGATTTTTCCATTCCTGTGGCGTGAGTTTCCCCTTAGCTAGCCTGTTATTTCCCCAATCGAGCCAACTTCTTCAGTTGGTGCCAGATTCGTGGGGCCACTAGAGTCTCTGGCGGCTCTGGCTCATTTGAGCACAGCGTCCCTGATTAGCCGCTACCGGCTGACTTCTGGATCCAGTTTTTCTGAGCTCTCAGAAGCTCAGGCAGTGCGGGAACACGGGAGAAAGGCTGAGGAGCTCGCACCGGCGCAGCTATCGCGGGGGGGGGGGGGGGGGGGGCGCGGCGGGGG